AGGCTTGCCTTCCCCTTTTTGCTTTTAACGTTCTTACTGCCTTGTGCCAACCCAAACTGCTGCCCTCTGCCATGTGCCTTCCTACCTCGGAGCCAGCTGATGACGCCCTGAAACCTCCACAAACTGTGAGCCAACTAAATCTTTCCTTCCTTAATTTTGGGCATCAGGTATTTTGTCTCAGAAGTGAGAGAAAAGGAACCAAGACAGGCAGTATAGAGCCAGCAGTGACCCTGAGAGGCTGGGCCTGCTGAAAGCAGCGAGGAGCACCCCCAGGGCAGTGAGGGGTGTGTGACCAGTGAGCCCCTGCTCTCCTGGAAGTCCCAAGGGATCTGCCTGGCCTGTCCCCTGCCTCCCTCTCGCCTCCTCCCTCACGCATCCTTCTGCTCATGCGCCATGCTCTGGGGCAACCCAGGGCCCTTCCGTTGATCCAACATCGGCAGCTGTCTGATTCCCTATTCTCAGCCTTCAAAACTGTGAGCTAAGTAAAGTACTTTCTTTACACCTTAAAAATATCAGCCATCCAGAACGGGAGTAGGGTCAGTGCCAACGGCACTCTTCTTCTGGTCTCTCACTCGAACGCTTGCCTCCTCCTCTCTCGCCTTCTCATGGTGTTTGCAAGATGTCGATGCCCGCTCCTAGCACGGGCTCTGCAGTGCTGGGTGGAAGCTGACGACATCAATATGCTCGTGTGGGGAGGGTCACACAGACACAGGAGGGTTTGCATCTGCGTGTGCCTCTGCCCGTGTGCCCCCATGTGCCATGGACGCACAAGTGTGTGCACACTGAGTGTCTCTTGTCTGAAATTCAGGGCACAACAGTGTTTTGGATTTTGGATTTGTTCCTACTTTGGAATATTTGCATATTGACATACATGTCATCTTGGGATGAGACCTAATTCTGGTCATAAGATTCATCTGTTTCCTGTACATCTTACACACATAGGCTGAGGGGTAACTTGGTGGATGTGAGGGTGGGGGTAACGGGATTGAGTCAGACTTCACACTGAACTCCATTCCCAGAACTTCTTAGTTTCTATTTTGAAACTGGGTTTTGCTAAGTTGCTAATTTTCCCAGTCTGGGATAGAACTTGCCACCTTCCTGTCCAGCCTCCCGGAGTGCTGGGTTTGCAGGCATGTGCCACCACACCCAGCTCAGAAGGTGATTATACCTTATCTTTCAGAGTGCTTGAGTTTTAACTATGACCCCTTACATGAGGTTAGATGTGGAATTTTAACTTGGAGTATGCGCTGGTGCTCAAAAGTTTTAGATTTTGTAACATTTATGATTTTGGAATCTTTGATGAGAGATTCATTGAATAGGGTCATGTATGTGCCCCTGGGTTAGTATATACACCTATACAGCCTACCTTTGAGTGAAGTAAGGACACCCCAGGAGGTTAAGATTGTGTAGGGCTCAGATCTTGGCCTTGAATACCATTGCGCAATCCAAGGAACTAGGGCCTCCTGGAGAGATGGCTGATGCTGGAGCAGGGGCTGTGGATGTGGAAGGGGAGCTAAGAGCACTGTGCAGGGCCAGGAATGAAAGACCTGGGGAAGGGGTGAGGAGGGGGGACAGGACAGGAGACAGGAGAGCTAACCTAGAAGTCTCAAAAGACAAAGGTGAAACTAGAGTCACCAAAGACTAAACCAATCACATAGTGTTCTATAACCCGAAGTCTAAAATAAATGTCTATACTGAGACAAGTGAATTACTGGATATTGAACAAATGGAGAGAACAGACAAACTTTCCATACAGAAGGATCCATGTAAATTTATGTAAATATTCCCCTCTCAAAGAAATAGAGCCTCCCGTGTGGTGGTTCCGTGTGGTGGTTCGCACCTATAATCTCAGCACTCAGGGACAGAGGAAGGGAGGGAGAGAGGAAGGGAGGGAGAGAGGGAAGAGAGAGGGAGCGAAGGAGGGAGAAAGGGAGGGAGAGAGGGTGGGAGGAAAAGAGGGAGGGAGGGAGGGAGGAGAGAGAATGGAACTCAGCTCCCTACTCCTTAGGTGCAGGCTATGCCTGAGGACTTCCTTTTGATGAATGCAGTGGAGACAGAGGCTACAAAAGCAACGTGTGTCGAGACCTGACCGCCACCTCCTGAGCCCGGTGAGCAGAGCCAGCCCCAGCTGCAGAGAGTCCGATTCATAGCATGCACCCTGGATACGAATCAGCAAAGTGGCACTTGGGCTTCTTGCTCTTCCTCCCCCAAAACCTGAAACCCCAGTCTAGCTGTGAGAAAAGCCCAATTTGGAGGACAGTCTACAAAATCTCTGCAGATTCTCTAAACTGTTAAGGACATGAAAAGCAAGGAAAACCAGAGAGAAAGCAGTGGCCAAGAAGAGGCGCCATGACTGCTTGGGATGAGGGATAGCTGGAGGGGCCGGATCAGAAATGTGATGTTAGCGAAAACTAAGGAAAAGTGAGTAAAATATGGGCCTCAGTGGTAACGGGGGACATTAACTTACCAGTTAGGACAGCGCTAACCATAGCAGTGTGAGTGGTGTGCAGACAGAGGAATCTCCCCATGATGACTGTAACTTTTCTATGCAGCTCTAATGTATAGAAATTAAGTAGTTGATTTTGAAGCACTACTCTGATGGTCTCTTCGTCCTTTATCCTGATGTTACATCTCTACTATCTTGCTCCATCGGGCAAGATGGACTGTTGAAGATAATGAAGAGACCAAGGCCAACCTGACGTTTCTACCAAGTGTGGCAACTCCTACGTGTTGGCTCGAGGGCTGAATACCATGTCGGGTCTTCTTGGGACCTTTACTTCTCAGCTTGTCTGCTTCTGAGGCTTATCTGAGGCACTTTTATTGGCTGCCACATGGTTTGAGCTGCAGTCTGTTCATAGCTTGGAGGAGTCCCACGTGCAAATCTCTTGCTGCTGAAGGAGCCAGGCTGCCAAGGTCATGCTGCCCTCTGGATGAAGGTGGGGGACCTTCCAGAGGCTGTCACCTCTGCCTTTGGGTTGCCATCTGTGGGACCCCTTGTTTGTGCTCTGCCTCCTTGTACCTCTTCGCCATCAATCTCCTTTATGTCTTCTGGCCCATTGTCATCTCCTTACCCCTCTTTATCACCAAGGTGCTTGGTAGAATAGGCTGACGAGGGCTGATTACGTGGGGCCAATCTGCAGCTGCCTGCAGGGCCTGAACCGAGCAGTCGTAGACTTGGAAGCTGGTAACAAGACATTTTACTCTGAGTAAACTGTTAAGGACATGAAAAGCAAGGAAAACCAGAGAGAAAGCAGTGGCCAAGAAGAGGCGCCATGACTGCTTGGGATGAGGGATAGCTGGAGGGGCCGGATCAGAAACGTGATGTTTCTCAGGAAAGCAGATCACTTGCAACGTCACCCACGTGGTACTGGCCCACAAGGTGCCACTCATATGGTGGCACTGTACAACTTAGTGGAAACCACTCTCTCTAGGCAGTCTTAGTTCTTAGGTAGAGTCTTGGTGTGGAGCTCTAGGGCTGAACCCCAACCCAAGTATTCCCTCAACTGGGCTGCCCTGTGCACTAGACAAACTATGCAACCACTCACTGTTGCCCTGAAAGAAATAATAGGGGAGAACCCACTGGCTTGCAGGAAGAGAAGAAATGGAGGAAATTCCCAGACTGCCAGAGGAAGCAGGGAGGGCGGGGCATTCCTGGACCAATCAGACTGGAGTTGTCAGGCAGTCAGTGGGTTTTTGCCGTAAGTGCTGAGCGTTATTCAGCAGCCATGGAGCAAGGCATCTGTATACGCCTGGCCCAGAAGTTGTGGGTGATGCATTTGGGAACTGTGAGCTAGCCCCCCTGAGGAGCTTGGGCACTGGGCTCGGAGGGCTGGGGTCGAGTCTCGCCCTAGCCCTTCCCTGGTATGACCTTGGGCAAGTGACCTTGCTTCTGCATCTTGCTTAGATGCTGTGAGCCACCTCCTTTCCCTTCTCCATATCAGTCACAGCCTCCAAGACCCTCAAATTATGCTTGTTTGTAACAGACCCCTTCCCTGCCCTCTGGTTTGTTTGCCTGTCCTTATCATGAGCTCCAATCCCAAGAAGTAGTTACTTTGCTTCTGGTTATAAAAGAAAAGACCAGAAAGATTTATTTGAAACAAATAAGTAATGGTGAGTCTGTTTTGTCACTGAGCTTGGTTCTAGAAAATATTTTTTATGCATTAAATCTCATAATGAGGACAATGATTGTTAGGCAGGTAAGACACCAATTTAGTTAATGTAGCTTCTTCATTGGTCTCAAACATCACATTACATCCCCTGAAAGGTTACCCCAGGATATGACATCTATCATTAGACTAAGAGCTGCAGCTATTTGCTATAAGCTAATCACACCACCAAAGTGACACCCCAAGGCCCAGGTCTGATCATGTCCCTCATTTAGTTAGATACCTCTAGTGATTGCCACTGTCCCAAGAACTAAGCCCACCCTCGGCAGCCAGAAGCACTGCTGGGATCCAGATACACACTCCCCGCCTCGCAGCTGCCTCTGCCCTATTTCTCCTTTTACCACATCTATCCTCTGAAAGAATAGCTTTCTCCTCTTTCTGAGCACAGCCTTCCCAGCCATGCTTCCAGGCCACACAGCTTCTATGCGTTGGCCAAAACTCATCCCAGACGCACCTCTGTGAGGCTCACGCATAGACCCGAGCTCTTCAGTGCACTCCCAACATTCTGTTGAGCTATGGAAACATCAGTTTACTTTTTTGGCTTGAAAATAAGCCTCCAGGGCCAGCGAGATAGCTCAGCAGACTAAAGCCCCTGCTTTGGCAAGCTCAGGGACCAGGGTTTGATCCCGGGTCCTGCATGCTGCTCTGGCCTCCGCACCCCACTTGGGGCATGCTGAGCTGGCTACTGAGTCTGGGCATGGTGGTACAGACCTGTAATCCCAGTGCTGGGGAGGCTCAAAACTGGAGGATCACTATGAGTCTGAGCTTTGAGACCCTGTACCAAATACATAAATGAAAAAAAAGAAAAGAAAAGAAAAAGAAAAAAATTGCCAAAACAAGGTTCATTTTCTGCTTTCCCTTTTACCCTCAGCACAATGATTAGTAGAGAGAAGGGAATTAAGTAGATGAAAAAATACGCAGACCCACGTCCATGTATTTCGAGCCACTTTTCCAAGAAACATATTAGTGGGTGATTTCCAGAGTCTGCCACCCTGGCATTCCAGTCCTCATTCTGTTGCTTGCAAATGCATTTAGCCAGTTTATTTAATGTCTGTTTTCTTAGTTTATAAATGGGAAAAATCAACCTTATAGAGCTGGAGGGGATTAAGAAAAAGTTATGCCCTTCAGCAGTACCAGGGACACCCAGTGAGCCACTGGACCAAGGTATCCATCCGTGTTCTTGTGACAAATTTCTCTGCGTGTCACTCCGTGCAGTCACTAGACCACCCTCGTGGAGCAGAGATTCTGTTGGTGCCAGTCCACCTGCGAGGCAGGCCGCTGACCATAGTCCTGCCACTGGTCCAGCTGTACCTGAAGAGCAGTGGAGACGGGAGGGAGTCACACGCCTAGAGAGGTAGGAAGCCCAGAGAGCCAGGCAGCGTATTAGTGGGTTCTGTGTCCAGCTACGCTTCACATGGGCGAGGTGGGTCTTTCCTTCCTGCTAGCCTTGGTTTCCATCCTTAGTGACTGTTAATAGAGGTGACTGCGTTCCCCAAATGATGTTTGAACTTTACCTGGGTCCTGTTTCCTGGGCAAGAACTCCAAATAATCAAGCCAGTTTGGAAAAAGCAGCAGATTGAGGCATAATCTGCACCTTTAATTACCTCGGGAGCTTTGAAATTGAACACACAGAAGGAAAATCAACAAGTTGGCTAATTTTGTTTTCCCTTAACCACTTCATCTGCACCCAGACCACTCCCACGCCTGCACAGTACACATTCTCCTAAACATTTTGTTACAAATGCATAGTTTTTCATCAGTTGCTGATATTATTTGTGCTCAGGAAGCATTCGGCGACTACGCTAAGGAAGGGGAAGGGTTAGCCCGGGTACTTGTTAGCCAGGGTTCAAGGCGACCTGCCCAAGCAACCTGCACTTAACCAGCTCGACCTTGCTGTGCTGCTCATGCTGTCAAGAAAGTGAACAGGGCCCCAGGGCTTCTGGTGCTGGCATCGTACAAGATTGCAAGTTTGATTTGAAACGTGTTCTTCATCAAGACGGTGCTCCCGTGTTTCTGCTGCTCTGGCTGGGCTCAGTGTAAGAGGGCCACTAGCAGTTTCCGGAAGTCCCCGGAGGTGTCTGAGCTGACCATGTCAGAGAGAGACTTCTGGTACTTCTCCTGGAACTTGGCTTTGATCCCCTGAAGGTCCACCTGTAGGGACGACAGCGACGTTAATGGTGTGTTCCCCGTAGAGAGCAGGCACTTGCCTAAACTTGCTTGGGCCTTCAGTCCACCTGTGAGGTAGAACCAGCACTATCTCCTTTTTGTGAGTATGAAAAAGAACACTAAATTTAGTCCTGCAAAGGTCGAAGAAGTGTCTGTATGTTCTATTTAATTGATGAAAACCAAACCTTAAAGTTCGTATGACTGTGTGCATTACAAAACAGTATTTCTCTTCTGAGTTTTTACATGTGCTGGAAATGAATAGTTCTTAGATACAGGACTGTACGGAAACAAGTGTTGGGCCCTACTTGGCCTGCAGGCCACAGTTTGCTGGCTTTTGGTAGAAGGTGAAGAAAGTTGTGGACACAGAGCTTTGAGACGAGTTTTTCATGCACCCTGACTGGCAAGGATGAATCTGAGTGCTGGAGGTTGGTATAAGACCTAAGTGAAAAACAGAAAAAGATTGCTCTACTGAAGCCCTCTTACAGCTAATAAGGAGCATAAATCTTGCATAGAAAAGATATAGCTCCAAGAACTCTTGTTGCGTAGGTCTTGCTTTACCTTGGTCTTAACCATCCAGTAGAAATGTATAAAAACGAAGTATAAGAAGTAAAGCCATGCTGTTAGGTTGAGCTGTAGGGGACTCAGGGCAACAGTTTCTGACATTGCCAGTCAAGCGGAAGACCCAATACTATTATGGGCTACTGGACTCTTTTAGAATATTTTGCTGCATTTATACACCTATAATATTTATTTATTTATTTATTAAAATGGCTTTATTTATTTATTTATTTATTAAAATGGCTTTATTTATTTATTTATTTATTTTTTGTGTGTGTGTGTGTGTGTGGCCTGCTCAGCCCACCAGGGGGCGGGGCTGGCTGGCATGTGGTGCTGGGGGATTGAACCGCGGTCCCTGTGCTTTGCCAAGCGTGTTCCAAGTAGGTGCTTTAGACCACTGAGCCATCTCTCCAGCCCCACCTATAATATTTAAATGATGGAACTTAACCAAAAAAAGGGGATACAGGTGAATGTCCATTTCGTATCTGTGTATTCAAAATGGTTAGGCTAGATATATAGTTACATTCTCTTAATGAATAGAGGGATTTGTTGTAATAGTGTTTGTAAATAGGATATCATGTCTGCATCTTGTACAGCAAATAACCACTAGGAAGAGAGTACGCAATGTGTTAATTATTGAAACTGTCCTACCAATTTGATTTGAAACGGTCTCAGTGCTATTTGTCTGTCAGTAAAATTATGGGGGAAAAAAAAGAAAAGATATAGCTCCAAATTGAATAAAATGAGTCTCATAAGGGAAACAGAACTCTCCATAGCCAGGAGTTTCTACTGTTTTCTCTCTGGCATAGACCCTCCTCTGCACTCCGGGTCTAGAAACTGTGGCTCAGATCTGGTCTCTCATCTCTTGCCCCAGTTAGAGGCTAAACTGAGGCAGAAAAAAATGAGAAAGGACAAGATGGAGCAGAGACAGACTGTTTGGAGTAGATGCTGAGCAGAGGGGAGAGGTGACTGGAGGAAGATGGGGTACCCCCTTGCTTGGAGGTCCTCCTGATCTCCAACCTGACCCCTTGCCCAAGAGGAAAGGCTGCAGGATGAGACACTGGGACTCTGGGAGTACTCTGTGGCCTTAGGGGATTAGGGATCTGGCTAAGCAACATCTCCCTGGGTCTGAAGCAGTCTGAGGAAACTTCCACATGTTGAGATGACAGGACATGTGGCCAGCACGGCGACCAGAGCACCTTGGAACTGAATGTACCCTGGTCCATGTCGGAATAAACTTGGACCTGTGACCAGCCCTTGGATGGGTCTGACCTCCCTGGGGTCTTTGGGTGCCCTATGCCTGCTGTGTGGTGAAACTTCACTCCCTCAAAACCCTCCATGACTTTGGCTGGGGTTGCATTGCTGAGACAGAGAGCAGGCACCCAGAAAGAGAAGGGAGAGAGCGTGGTAAGGAGAGGGAACTCCAGGGGAGAAGACAGGCTGCAAGGGAGAGGCGGTAGAGCAAAGCGGACTTGGAGACAGCAGAAAAAAATGAGTTGTGAAGGAAGAGGAGAAAGGGGTGTGTGAGGGGGCAGGGGAGAGATTCCAGGAACAGAAATAAAAATGAAAGAACCATCTTGCTGCAAAATTATTTAAAGACAGCATCAGATGTTAAGTATTTGTTGAAAATGGGTCAGAATTTGGGTTGGTACCACTCTTCCTCTATTGGACAATTTTTTGTTTTTGAGGGAAGATGTGTGTGGTTGTCAACTGCTGCACTCCACTTCCTTTTCCAAGGCTCCTCCGACTGCAGATGAAGTGCCACTCTCCGTTATCCCCTTGCCCTGTGGCCCCGCGTGCCAAGGCACTGGCTGTGGGTCTTGGCAGCTGCCCACAGGTTTATTTTCCTAAAACTCAAGAATCCTCTTCTGATGGGGCGAAGAGTGCTTTTTAAGGGTTTAAAAATCGTTTGGTCTTTTAATGTATAAAAATGCATCTCTGTTCCTGGGAATAAATCATTCATATGACACATAAACAAAAATTTGTGGTGTTAAATTGTTTTCTTTGTGTGGAGCCCTCAAGAAAAGGGTATGCCTAGGAAGGCTGGAGGCGGGGACCAAAAATAAAAAAGATTGAGAGATATTCTGTTGAATGGACATGTTTCAAGTATAAAATTTTGTTTCTACTGTGTGTTCAGTGAAATAAACACCCTGCTCAGGAGGTGGGAGATATCTGCTTCTTGTCCCTACACACGGTGGCCCCTGTCAGCAACCCTGTTTTGTCTTAAGATGGAGCCAGGCATATCCGTGGTACCTCCACGTGGCTCATATGTTCCCTCCCTGTACACAGCGCCACCAACTCTCCGGAGCCACAGACGACAGAAATAGCAGCAAGGATCATTACTGTATTTTTATAAAAAGAAACAGATTGAAGCAGAGCACAGTCTTCTACAGATTCCAGGAAAGTGAGGGCTGTCTCTGCTCACTTTTTCTGTAAATAGGCCTTAGAAGAAAAGAAACCATAAGCGGATGACATCAGAGGTGGCGAAAGAGAAGTTGCTGCCGCCTCTTTGGAGCCCAGGGTGTCTTACCTCGGCCCTGGTGACAATGACGCGAATTAACGTCTCCTCATCAGTCCCCATGCCCTTCATGGCCTTGTACAGAAGGTCGGCGAAGTAGCCCTCACGGTCTCGGGCACATCTCACTGAGGGGAAAAGGAAAGGAGAATGCGAGGCATTCATGTCGAACACTAGGAGGACACTCCAGGGCCCAGGGCAGCCCAGAGGGTCACCTGGTCACCCAAGGGGCTGCCAGGCTTATAAGGCAGACTCTGAAGGAGCTGACTTCCCACCGTGGAGAAATGAGATCTGGGAGATTCCCCATATCGGCTCGCCTGGGCTCTTCAGCCAGATCCAGGTCAAAACCACTTCAGAAGATGGGAGGCTCCCCTGTGGCCCCGGCACCCTCTGAGAGCAGGGGTGGCCCTAGTTCACAGCGATGACTTGGCACCTTTGTTTCCCAATAGTGTGGAAGAAAGCCCCGACTTTTCCACTTAGATAACGTATGCATGGGAAACAGCTGCTATTGTTAGCAGCAGCAGCAGGAGTCCCCAAGAGGTGGGGTGGGGACAGCCAGGGAAGGCCGGAAAGCAAAGGGCAGCCAACTGCTCACTCTGCCCCTTGCTCTTCATGGCCTTCAAGGAGCAGGGGAGGCAGAGTGGGGTGACACAGGTCTGTAATCCTTGCTGCTCAGAAGGCTGAGGCAGGAAGGTGGAGAGTTCAAGGCCAGTCTGGGGAACTTAGACTAACGCAAAAAGAAAGAAAGGGCTGGGCGTGGTACAGCACCCCCAGTACTGTAGTGGGAAAAAAGCAGAGATTCTCAGACTTCACCCCTACAAGACAATCCCCTTCTGCACCCTGTTCCACTTTCTGTGGGAAATCTGGAATGGGAACTGGGAAACTGTGGTAACAGGCGATTCTGACTTGGGTCCCCAGCTATGAAGTGGCGCTCCTGGTAGCAGTCATTGAGAGGTCCCAGCCTATGCTTCAGCTTTCGGCTGTAACTGGACATCTTTACACGTTGAGCGGGAGCAGGTTGCAGCATGTCTTGCAGAACTGTTGACGGAGCCACGCGCTTTGCACAGCTTATTCTCAAGGATTTTCACTCTTACTTTTGCTACGACTGAGAACAGCTGCTCGTGGCTCCCGGCTCGGAGAGCTGGCGCCCCATCTTCCGCGTACTTCCTACCCTCCGTGTTGTCTCCACGGTCACCTCATCTGTCGTGCACAACTCCGTGTGCATCATGCTCCTTAAGAGCAAGCACTGGGCCTCTCTCGCCTCTGATCCGGGTACCTCGCACATGCCCAGGCCCAAGACCCACTGAGCCAACGTTAAGTCACAGAGAGCTTGCACTGCTGTCCTCCCACCACACACTCGTGTTTTCCGACTCTCCACACTGCAGTAGACAGTCATCGGGAGCCTCAGAGCCGGACGTGAGTAGAGCCCTCTACCTGCTTAACTGGCCCTCCCTTAGCGCCCCCAAGCAGTCATCCACGCTGGGCTCAAGCGCTTCCAGCGTCCACTGTGGGCCAAGAGTATCGGCGGGATGTTCACCGCTCTGCACATCACGGTACACACCCTATAACGCTGAATACAACGCGAGCACGGGTGGGGAAAGTCAGTGGTCATTGTGGGTTTTTTTTTTAATCCAAAACCCAAACCAGTAGCGTCTGGTCACTTGGCAAAACTTGCGGGGCCGCTTGTTGTGGAGGGCCCCCTGAGCAGTGCTCCTTGAAAGAGGAGCAGCTGTCTCCATTTCGGCTGTGCCCGACCCTACTTCCATGTCCTGGTATGTACAGAGCGGCTAGGACTTTTCCTCATCCCTTCAACTGGCCGTAAGCAGTGCATACTGGCCTAGCCGAGGTGCTGGTGGGAGTCTCTGAAGACTGAACTCGTGCTTCCCTGATACCCCACACCTGCTGCTCTTTAATGTGAGCAGGGTCGAGACAGGAGGAAGAGCCAATGCCTCACGCTGTTGGCTGGGATGAAGCCTCCTCGAGACAGAGGCTAGGACTTCCTGGGGCTTGAAAGATAACACTTCAGAGCTGAAGCACCAGATCCCCAAACATTAGATACTATCTCAATAGTATAATGCAAATTGCCTTTTTTGTGTATCCTTCTTTCTGCATGTTGCAGGCCTCCTGTCTGGCCCAGCTCACAGTACTCACCTACTTCCTGCCATTCTCAGTCGTCCATCCTCAAGCCACTACTCCTTCATGACCGAATAAAACCCAGGTTTGGCCCTGAGTCAAGGCCTTTGCTCTGGAGAGCCATCACCATGGCTGGACTTAGGACCCCTCGGCTCCCCATAACTATAAATACGCCTTCCTGTCTTTATTCTCACTGTGGGTAGTACTGGAAGTTGTAGACGGGAATTAACTTGTTGGGATTCCAAGACCTTATCCATGGGATTACAAATACAAACTTCCTGGACTGATATGAGGACCAAAAGGGCTCTCTGTACTTGTTCGGGTTCTTCCCTTCCGGGGATGAGTCCCTCCCCTCCGTGTGCCACCTGGGATGGTGCCCTGGACTCGTCCCCGCAGCAATGAGCACAGTGACAATGCCTTCCTTCCAGAGCTCACAGAAAGAAAACAGAGGCCTGCCAGAGATGGCCTCTTGCCCATCTCTCTGCTATTTCCTGCCTCTGGGCAACATGCAGGGAGAAGGTCCAGTGGTTTGCTTGGCATGGTCTAAACCTCGTCTCTCTCTTCTCTCTAAATGGACAGCATTTTCTGCAATTGTTGAAGGAAACCAAATTGGAAGGGAAACCCTGACGCCACTGGACAGACTGGCTCATGGACCTTGAATGTGGGTACTGTTCAGTGTGTGTCAAATGAACTGTAAACCATTACCTGAGGCTTGGACTACTGAGAGATGCTGGGGGCCTCCTAGTCTTAGTGGGGTTGCAGAGGACCGTGATGCCCTCCTGGAATCCAGGTGCCTATCCTAAGGTGCTTCCTGACTGCTCAGAGCTAGGGTTCTCCCCAGGAACCACCTCCAATTGACAGAGCTGACTTGCCCACCACAGCAAACACCCCCAGGTACTGCTGGCCCCAAGTCACTGATGGATGTCAGGTGCTAGGACCTCTTGGCTCCCCTGCTCTACTGGGACATCTCAGCATCTGAGTGACAGGAACTGCATTACATCCACTTTGTCCTCTGCCTAATGTTGTTCTGTTATTTGCCAGCCCATTCCCTGAGATCCTCTTGCATGCAGCCTTCAGTCCCCAGATATGGTTCCAGGACAGGGACTCTCCTAATGCTGCTTTACCAAGAGTTAAGTAGGTCTTCTGTAAGTCTCCGGACGTTTCCTCTTCAATGGCTTCTTCCATGTCCTTGCCAATGAGCTGGAGAGGCAAGCAGAGTCCAGCTGTTATTCCTGGATTAGCTTTTAGCACTCTTGGGATTGATTTTTTATAACAAGTGCTAAACTTCCTCAGATTCAGCACTGCTGCTCTAAGGAAACCCTCTCCTGCCTCTTGCCCTTTGGGGGCTCTCTTGCTATGTGTGGGTGTGTAGGTGCCTGCGCGTGTGTGGGTGCCTGTGTGCGTGGGTGCCTGCGTGGGTGCCTGCGTGGGTGCATGTGTTCGTGTTTGTGTGCGTGTGTACGTGTGCACCACCTGCATCTCCTGGCCTTCCTTGCCTTGGGTCTAGGGATCCGGTCCCTTAGCACAGAATGGAAATAAGTAGCGGCTGTGAGGCTCACGGTAGGACGCTGACTGAGCAGGCTGCAAGGGCTGGGAGCTGGAGGCGGAGCACACCCCGAGGCTGCGCTCCCTCTCTGGGCGAGATCGCAGATGGCTCTCTGCACAGCATTACGCATTAGGTTTCTTTCCAAATATTTACAGAAGCTAAAGTTCGAGTAAATTGTGACTGACTTTAACACAAATACTGCCTGGGCTAAGCTCAGGGCAGGCAAAAAAGAGAAAAGAAGGTGCTTCGCTAGATTTGAGCACTTTGCCTCTTTCTAGAAATTCTCTCTTATAAATATGACACAATTGATCCTACAGATTATTAGGACCCTTGAGTGCAATCTAGTGGATTTTGCTCTAAGTTTTTTATTATGAAACTGCAGGTAAACAAAACGTTCTTTGTGATGTAGGGACAACACGGGGGGGGGGGACGGTCTGGAGGTAGCAAAGCTCCTTGTTGTGTGCCTGCCATTGATTGCCTATCTAGATGTCTTTGTTCTGGTGATGGAAACCAGACTCAAAGGGGAGGGGATTTCAAACCTGTCCTTCCTTAGCTGCCCAGGTGCGGCTAGGTGCAGCGTGGGAGGTGGTATTTTGGAAGGGTGGGCGTCACTTCCTGACACAGGGCTCCTGTTTTGCAGGCTGAGATTGCATTTCAAGACTTCATTTTGTTTATATGAGTCTGCGTTGACTAAAAACTTATCACATTAAACCATTTACTATTTCTAATAGAAACAGTATTGAAACAGTACTGGGGCCAGAATAGTGGTTTTAACATTTTTTATAGACTCTTAGCCTATAAGACAGATAAAAGAAGACAGACAGAGCTGTTCTGCAGCGGTAGCAGCAGGACGTGGTCTCCTGGCTCTGGCGTTAGGCTTCGATGCCATGCTCTGCCCACAGGAGGGCTTCCTCGCACAACTCCAGGGGGCGCCCTTCACCCAGTGCACTGAGAGCACACGGCCTGACCTCCTATTCTCCTGCTTCACTCCATCCTAGTGACTAATGAAGCATCTCCATGGGCCCCACGGAGCTCCGTGCGGAAGCAAAGCAGTGCTGAGTGGTTGGCCTCCCCAGCGAGCTTCCCACTTCAGTCTCTGGAACATCTATTTCTTAGGGGACTATTCAGACGGATGAATTTTTCTGATCTCAGAACAAAAGCACATCAGGAGGTAGACTGCAAACTAGGCTCAGAGACTCTGGTGCCACAGGCTGCAGTGTCTCTAGGGGAAGTTATTGGAGAAATAAGGGCGATGCCGTTAGTAGAGGGTGCAGTCCAGTATGTATTACTGAGAAGTCTCGCTTTTAACAGATTCGCAAGAGATTTCCCTTTCATTTGGAATCGATTCTCCCACATTGACAGTGCTGAGAGCAGAGCCCAGGGTACTCGGGCTCTGCTAACACAAGTGTGAGAGTCAAAGGCTGACCTTGCCTGTCTGGTAGAGTTGGGGACCGCGATAATCTTGTACGATGTAGCCATGTCCGGAGGCCCTGTTGCTTGGACTGGGACTGCTGAGACCGTTAGAAATGAAGCCTCATGCTTGGAGGGCAAACACAGGAAAACCCCTGAATTTGGGGCCAAACATTAAAGTTCACCTTGATGCCAAGATAATCTACTATATAATATACTCCGGTGATCTCACACTAGTGTTTTTGGGCTTTTGGACAGAAACCATCAAACCCAGGGCCTTAAGAGCATGATCAACTCTTAAGAAGTTATCAACAAAGAGCAAGGCTTTTGGAATGCAGCGATATTCATAGCATTGTCAGAGCTGGTTTCGTGTGGAGTCAGCGGATCCATGATTTGCCTTAGTGTCCATTTGAGTCCTGTTCTGGTTATTAGTGCTTGACCAATGTTTATCAGGCACTTACTGTGCACCAGGCACTAAGTGTTCGCTTCTATGTTTTCTTTGTTCTTGTTTTTGTTTTTTTTTGCAGAACTGGGGATTGAACTCAGGCCCTTGTGCTTGCCAGGGTAGCGCTTATTCTACTGAGCCATCTCCCTGGCCCAGTGCTTGCTTCTATTAATTCACTCGATTCTTACTAATCCTGCGAAGTAGGTACTATCAACTCTATCAGCTGGTTGGAAAATGGAGGCAAGAACCCTTCATAATTTGCCCCAGGCCGGGCCCCTAGTAGCTCAGGGCAGACTTTCTGGACTTCCACATGCCTTGGAATTACTTGGGGGCTTGCGAAGACTCACAGATGGTGAGACCCAAACGCCAAGGAATCCCACTTAGCAGGTGTAGTGCGGGAGCTGCGGCTTTTCATTAGCAGCTTCTCAAGTGATTCTGATGCTGCTATCTAGGATTAACTTCAAGATCCCACACTGGCTTCGATGTCCTTGCAGGTGTGCCACCACTAGGTCACTCAAGGGCCTGTACACAAACATACACACACTGCTGTGTGTGATTACATAGTGACCACCAGTGACAGCCATGTTTGGAGACTCCACCTGTGGTTCCTATCATGTGGGAAACGGAGCCCTGGGGAATCCTCGGCAGAGGCCACACGGCTCCAGGCGCAGAGTAGGGGGAGGCAGGGTCAGCTGCCTTTCATCAGGACTCAAGCACAGGGCCTTGGGGCTTGCATGCAGAAACAATAAAATCCCAAAGCTCTGTTGTCTTTTCCTCTCCTGGCACCGCACAGGAGAGGCCACTCTGAGTGAGCAGCAGCTCTGGCGGGGTAGGAGCCCTGCCAGGGCGTCTTGGAGGCCTCGTCCGCTTTCTGCTACTGACTCATTGTGTGGTCCTGAGAAGTCATCAAGGGTTCCTCACAGGCAGGCTGACCGTGTCCGGCAGTTGTGGGCCACAATAATTGCTCAGTTACATTATAATTAGGCTATTGGAAAAGCGAAAAGGACATACAGGGCGTAGATGTGCTTTGAATGGGTGAAACAGTCTGTAAAAATAAAATAGGAGGAAAAAAAGGAAAGAAAGAGAAGGAAAAAGAAGGAAGGAAGGGGGGGAGAGAGAGAGAGAGAGAGAGAGAGAGAGAGAGAGAGAGAGAGAGAGAGAGAGAGAACTGATACTCCACTTACAGCTTTTTTTTTTTTGTGGAACCAGGGATTATTGAACTCAGGCCCTTGCGCACTTACAGCTTTTTGCAAATTGAAGTTTCTTTTCAGGGGACAACTTAGTACCAAGTATGTTGAAATAGCTAACTGGCTTTGCTGGCTGGAAATGATCATGAGATTAAAAACATAACTTATGCGTGTCTTTTCAGGAATCTCTCTCTGAAGTAGAACATATCGGTCTGAAAGCGGTAGGCGCTGCTAGCCCAGCTGTTAACTGGAGTAATGAAAACGAAAGAAGACGCTTGCATGTTTACCAGGGGTCACATTCTTGCTGAGGCTTTCTCTGAACTCTTAGCCTAACCCTGCAAACATCTGCTGACTGCGCTTGTAGCCCCTGCACTTTGGTCCCACCTTGGCTGCAGCGTGTGACAGACATCTCTGCTTCCCTCACCTCTGCCAGCAGCGCAGGGTCGCCTGCCACTGCACCCACCCGCAGCTGGCTTTTCTTCACTGCAGGGCTGGGCTGAGCACTGTGGGATTCTGGCAGCATCCTGGGCCTCTGCCCATGAGAAGAACCACTGTTTGAAAGCCCTCCAGGTCCAGACCCCAGACCTGGGCTCCTCTGGGGGGCCTCAGGGCTCAGAGCACTCTACTTACAAGTTGATAGGCCAGAAAGGTGGCTCGAAGCTGGGCGTAGCTCCTTTTGGCTAGGACTTCATTGAAGGCGAGCTCATCAGTGCCCCAGCGGCCTTCTCCTGCCTGAGGGCAAAGGGCAACAGCATCACAAGGACTTTGTGAGAAGACGAGTGGACAGACAGCTCTGGGCAGGCCTCGCTCACGGGGCTATAAAGCATGCACCGAGTAGGAGTCGGGTGTGCGGAGCAGCTTCTGCGCTCCTGACACGCAAGGACACTTCACCTATTTACGTTGTTGCTGCTCACGCTTATCCGGAAACAGACTCGAGACGGTGAAGCCCAGCCACGAGACATGGGAACAGTTCCTCATCTGTGCCCTACGCCCATACGCAGGGGCACGTATTATTTCTTAAAGACCACCTTTATCTCTCCAGTCACTCCCATTGGCATAAATAAAGAATCCTTTGTTGGAAACAGGGCTAACACATTAAAAACAAAGACGCTGCTGAGCCTGGCGCGGCCGCCCACTTACATCATGCAGCTCTCTGGCGTCCTGGCCGGCCAGCTCCTTGTTCACCTCGTCCCCTTCATCACGGTCAGCCTAGAACAGGGACACATTGTTCCTACCTTGAGTTCTCGCCTGACCACAGAGAACAAGGAGAGAACTGGGTGTGGGGTGCCCTAGAGCGGGGGCCTCCGAGGAGCTCGGCTCGCCCCGCCAGGCTCAGGACCTGCTCTTTGCTGCCACCTTTTGGGCGTAGATGGCAAAGGAAGTGGCTTCTGAGGAGACGGTGCTCCCACCCGCTCCCTCGCCTGCCTCCATTCCTCCCACTCCCCGTCTCCACTCTCTCCCTCCCTGTTCCCCCTCCCCTCACTCCTGTCTTTTGCTCTCCTGCTGGGAACGACTCCATTTCTAGGCCTTTAACGTTCTTTTTTATTTTGTTTTTAATTTTTAAAATTTTTTATTTTTTTCTGTGGAACTGGGGATTGAACTCAAGCCCTTGCACTTGCCAGGGAAGTGCTTATTCCACTGAGCCATCTCCCTGGCCTCCTCTTTTTTATTTTGAAACAGAGTCTCCCTCAAGATGCTAAGTTGCACAGACTGGCTGCCACTGGCTGTCATTTTTGGCTGTCATTTTTGCAATCTCCCTGACTCAGCCTCCCAGAGTGCTTTTTTTTTTTTTCCCTAATAGAAACCATGGTCACTCACACTGACCTCAGAGCAGATTGACAGCGACTTAGGGGGCTGCCTAGAGCAAGTCCTTTGGGCCACAAATAATCTTCCTTCCATAAACCCAACTTCTGAGAGCTGGTCAAGGAAGGAAGGATGCAGAAGTCTAACCTAGGCCCTAGGAGGTAAGTGGAATCTTAAGACAAGTACTAGTGACCCACGCCTGCTTTTCTCCAGTGCATTTGTTGAGATGTCACTACTGTGCTTAGGTTCTTTCTTTCTTT